AGACAGGTAGTTTAGGTAAGGGACAACCTGAAACTATTTTGTGAAATTGATAGTAAAGTGGTTGTCCTAATTTCTAATTGAAGAGATCACACCGCAACATGAGTTTAGAACAGCAGTTATGGGAAGTTTTGTTGGATTAATTTGATTACACGCTTTAGGTCTTATTTTTTTCTTTCCACTGATTTAGCGTTAGGTTAAGTGTTTTCACACTTTCGCTTCAGTCTGACATTTGCTTGGTGTGTGAGGGCACAGAGACGTGTATGGACCGTGTGTTTGACTGTGTTTGTTTTGTTTGTTTGTTTATTTATCTATATGGGCATGGCCGAGCCTTGAGAAACATCAACAAAGCCATTGGACTATTCTGAGTAAATTGACCAATTCAAATTCAGGATCCTGAAACAATTTGGCTATAACCTCTAATTGATGAAGGACATCTTAAGAATTCATTGTACAAGGCTTCCTCTCCAGTGTTGCCGGAACTGTTATAAAACCCATGCATGGTTGTATATTTTAGTTTGATCATTTATACTCATTGAATTATTGTTGTTTGCTTTATGTTTTAATTTCTTTGTAATTTTTTCTCTGTGACACAGGTGGAGATGCTGGTGGCAAAGTGGATCCCACTCATTTCTTTCTCCCACACACATTCTTACTCTCTCCCTCTCTCTCTGTGTATGTGCATGTGTATGTGTTTGTGTGTCTGTGTGTGTCCATGTCGTGATGTCACTGTACCTTTAATTGCGCTTGCTGTTCGTAACTGTATGTGTCTGATGTTGAAGGTATCAGAGGCTAGGGTCAGTAAGAGCTAGGACATTTTTGTGCATAACCTTTAATCCCTAGGCGATCGGTTCGGGGAACTTCTGGTCCGGCCGGAGTGTGAATCTTCCTACCAACTATCTGCCAAGATCAATTGGACTGCACAAGCCGAGAAAGCCTTCATTGGACCAAAACCACACATGAAGATACTTCGCCTTTGGTGCCAGGCGTCGTCTGGGTCCTGCTGAAGGTCACCAAAAGAAAGTGGACGGAACCAAGGTGGACCGGGCCATACAGGATCACGGAGAGGACGTCACACGCTGTCCGGCTGGACGGGAGGAGCCTAACCTGGAAGAGAAGCAGCCGACATCTGCCTGACCAGAAAAAGTACCCAAGGACCAGGACGAGAAGCAGCTGACATCTGCCTAACCAGAGAAAGGATCCAAAAACCAGGAAGAGAAGTAGCTGACTACAGTAGCGTGCCAAGCTACCAATTCTGCGGGACGAGGTAGCATGCCAAGCTGCCACCACATCCTGCAGGACGAGAATTGTGATATCATCACCCCCTGCAGCTGCCTGGAGCCAGTGAAAGGACCTCAACAGGGGGAAGAAGTAACCACCATACGAACATTCTACAAGGGTTATATTTAACACCCTCCATTTATTTTATCTGGGTTCTATTTTACACCCTCATTTATTTTACAAGGGTTATATTTTATACCCACTACTCATTTTATATTATTATTCATTTACCTGTTTAGTATTAGATATATGTTTACACTCATTGCATTTCCAAACTCAATTCTGAATGTACAGATTGATCGCCATTGCCATCTCTCCTCCACCTGCTGACCCAATTATCCAGATGCCCTTGTTACTAGCCAATCCTAACATCTATTTGGGAGGGGAACCCTCTGATGACAGTGATGACTCTCATGATGAAGAAGATGATGTTAGAGTGTGAGAATGTTCAGTGATTTATGTAACAATCCCTTCACCTGTTCATTTCTATGAGTTTTTTGATTGTGTTGTTTTTATTTTTTGATCATTGATGTCCTAGGCATGCCCACTCTGTGCCAAAAGGTGTTCGCCCCAAAATGGGGGGACATGGGGGAATTTTCCCTATTTGACGTACGATAATTAGGGTTTTTCGCCCTCATACGGTGAGCATGCGATCCATTCATGTTGTAACATGTTCAGTTAAAAATATGATCATGTTTTTTGTATTACTTTACTGCTGGAAATATGAGAAGCTGTAATCTGATTGATTGTTTGTATTTGTATTTTAAAACTTTGCTTATTGGATTCTTTTTGATGGAATTTGGTGTTATTGTTTTGATTTCTTATATCTTTATTGAACTCTTAAAAGAGTTCAAAAGGGGGATTGAAAATATATGTAACTCTCATATAAGCTCTTTTATTATTCATTGTTATATGATACTTTTTTCATTATGGAATCATGTTATAATATCAAAGGCCTCTCTGTGCTTCTCTCCTGCATGAGCTCTAAACAGCTGCAGGAACTCCAAAAGGGAGTGAAAGTGTTCCTTCCTTCAGTTCCTCAATACAAGAACAACTGTCTTTGTTAGCAAAGGATGTTGCAGGATGTGTCCTGGTCATCTCAAGGTTGCATGTCCTTGGGATGAATTGGTCTTTCATTAACAAGGCTATTAGCTGACGTGCGTCTACAGGTGCAGATGGCAGAATTACGTGTGTGTATGGCAAACTGCGTATGTTACATTCCTGTGCTTTTCAATAAAAATCAGCCGTTTCAGCAGAACAGCGAGAGTCTGTCCGAAGCAACTGACGGGAGCAGGTCGCGGGACCTGCTGTATGTTGCAAAGGCTCTCCCCCTCATGAGCGGTGAAAACAGTGACTGGACTTCTGATCATTTGTCTCCACATTCTGCCAACTCAAAAGGTGTTTAACTCCATCTTCTCCGTACCCGTGCTTGGTCTAACAGAAGAAAGACCAACAGTTACTATAACACTGTGCATTGAATAGCTGTTGCCAGTTATGGATCAGCACCAGAAGATTCTAGATGACAGGCAAAGATGAATCACACAAAGTAAGTTGATAAGTAATTAAACACAATGTCATATCTGGTGCTAGCACACTTTTATGGTAGGGGGCACTTACTACACTTATTATGGTAATATGACTCCAGCATTCGAGGAAGTGTTGTTGTTTGTACCTTGCTGTTAGCTTGATGTTATAGTTCTGAATAACTCATTAATAGAAGTAAAATTCATGATTTACTCATTTACTTCACACACACACTTCACTGTAATGTGGAGTTGTTGGTAATTGAAAAAGTAGCTTGAGATATTTTTAGAGCTGTCTATTTTCATTGTATTCACCATTAGAGCAACGTTAGCCTCTAGCCTGCACCACACATTTTTAGAAAAGGAGGCAGTGGCTTCTTAGGAGTACAATAAATAACTTCTGCGTCGCTCTTGTTTTGGCTTCAGTTCACACAACTTCGTAGCTTTTTGCCTTCTGGTATTGAATTACAAATGCCAGTGCTGTGGCGATAGCTTGACGGAGACTTGGCAACATCACAGCCTCATTGACTGTAAATAGTAAAAACACTCCTCTTTAGTTTTTTTTTAAAGGAGAAAAACTGACAACCCCCCAGCTGGCTGAAAAGGAAATCAGTTTCAGTGTACTCCTACTTCCAACATGATTGAGACATTAAATCATTTTCTGATAAATATAAAATTCTTACATATTGCTCCTTTAAACGGAGCTGCTTGTGCAGTTAAAAAAGTAGGTAGCAATGCATTTCAAAATTAACTTGATCAGGTCAAATGAACCCTCAGACTCCACACATTAAAAGTCACTTCGATTCATCGACTGGATGAGCAGTACAACGTGAAAATACTGCACTGTCTGTGCGTCTCTCAGACAGGCATTGATTATCTCACACAGTTAACATACATATCCCTGTGCAGCCACTTGAAGTGTTTATGATTGGCAAACAGGAAAAAAGTGCAAGCACTGCCCTCAGCACTTAACCTTATCTAGACGACGGCACTCTGCAATTTCTGGGACAGTTTTTAATTAAATATCAAGTTAGAAAAAAAGGATATACAGCCCTTAAGGCGAGTGGAAAAACACTGACACTTTAATTTGTTAATAGAGTAGTACATTATTATTAAAATGATTGCATCAAGTCATAACACTCAAGCCTGTATACACTGATGGTGACACACAGCTGACATAAATCATGCTGCACATTACAAGCATGAATCCACAATTCAAACAGTTTATTAGAGTGTTGTGGCAGTCATGTATGACATGTCACTGCTTTACTTCTCAGCTTTGCATGTCTAGCCTCAGTTGCATGGCACCGTCGGTGAAAGTGATCGTGCTATTCCGTCACATCCCCGGGTAGGTTACCGCTTCTTTATTTAATCATGTTGCTCTAAATATTATGAGCTTAGGGAGTTCTTCCTGGGAGATTATTGCTTTTCACATGAAGCTGCAAGACAAAGAAACCCTTTTACATGCTCGTGAGCGATATTAAACAAGACTAAGAGTCTACAATCATGCCAGCTTCTCAAAGCCGCTGCATGATTAACGCCACAAGTGGGCGGCAATGACACTAACGTGGAGGATATCAGGTATTTTCTAATATTCGTGAAAAAAGGACAAATAGTTTGCGATTGATTTTGATGCCTGAGTATGTGGACTAGATTTTTGTAGTTTGTCCAACATTGTTTTCTCTGAAGCCACTTTTAGTAAATTTATAGTGACTTTCGTAAGTCATTAGTGATTTTCAGGCAATATTCACACTTGGCTGTGGCAAAAAAAACAACAGGAAGTCATAAAAGTAATCTGAATTTGGTTTCAGCCATTCTAAAGACTGTTTCTGTGTTAACTTGTGTTCCGATTGGCCATTAGATGATGAGTCCTTTGCATTGCACTGTTTTAGGTGCAATATCTGTGAATTTTAAATGTTTCATTTAGAAGCAAACGACAGGCAACATAGTTTATAAAAATGGTCATTATTCATTGAGTTGATGCAAAGTGGAATAAAATGGGTTAGATTATTTGGTATTAAAGTTGCTGCTGAGTTGGTAAACATTATGCATGCTGTATAAAAGGTCTGTTTATAAATGCACATGCATTTATCTAAGGTTAGCAGAAATATTTTATTGTAAATCTAAATTATTGACCTATTAACAGCAAATATTGATTTTTACGGTACAAGATGCAGCTTCTAAAACACCAATGTACTGGTTCATTCTCTGATTTGGATGCACTTTGTGTCTCCTGTGTTTACAGCCAAGAATTTCATATACATGAAATTACAAATTGCATTAAAAAAACATCAGGATCCATGTTCGAAAGCATTATGACACACGAACATGTTTTAAAAATTATGTTTTTAAAACATGTTGTGGGTTGCTGAGGAGTAGAGGTCAGCCAAAAGAGCATGTCCCCATTGACCGAAGTATCTTTCACGGGTAAATTTAAGATCAGGCTCACTGATTAATCTTTTTTACTTACTTTTGGAAACGATAAGTCACTCGGAGTTTAACATCCAGGCTGAACATGAAAATAGTCTACCCCTATTTTCTGCATTAACATCTGGTAGAAAATAGAAAAATATTTGAAAATCTACATCACACTGTCATGGACTCACCCATCATGACTCATGATGGGGAAACCTGTTGTAGTTTTAATCTCCAAGAAAGAGCAGAGGACATCTTGACTCGCAGAAGCTAACCGTTAGCATTAGTAACTCCACCACACAGCAGAACTCCTTCAGGCTTTTGTCATTTGCGGAGATGAAACATTATCATTGCAAAGCAAACGGAGCCAGTGGTAGAGTTGCGCTGCTGTTGTCCAATCAGATCAAAATGCTGCTATCTTCTGCCACTCTCTCCTCTGGCTGACTTCTACGTCCTCAAACAGGTCCACCAGAGCTTTCGCCACCCCAAGTAAAATTTACGAGGCATTCATTCATTAGAAACCACTGCAAATGTATTAAAAATTTTAGAAAAGCTGACCTTTCAACAGGCTGTAACTAAACATGTTTTTGCTAATATTAACATGTGAAGATGTAGCAATGCAATAGTAATAATAAACAAGAAGCAACTGTTTAAAGGTTTTACAGATTTATTATACAATATGAAGCAAACATTGTATCAAAACTAAAGGGAAAAGAAACCAACATGATTATAAATCAACATTAAAACCTCCCTGTCGTGTTTGGGTCAAATCTGACCGATTTACTTAAAACACTCATAAAAATTGTGTTTCACATCTGATTGCCTCGAGGCCTTATGATATCCTCCACAATATACATTTGAACAAATGAAAGTGATGATCTCCTTTTTCATTGAATTTTGTCTTTTAATCAATCTTGTCTCTCACGTGGTGTTCCTGGCCAAAAGTGAAGGGGTATACAGACTATATGCATCCATCAGACAGAAAACATCCCCATACACACCACCCCCACTCACTCACTCACTCATTTCAGACTGAACAATGTATTTATAGGGTACACACTTTTGTGCTGACCCTCCCACGTGAACTAACTTCTTGATGAAACGATGCATCACATCTTCACACAGACTTGACATGTGTCTGTTATGCTGACCCACCTCTATCCCACGCTTTTGTGCCTATTCTCCACGTGAACCACCCCTTCCAGACTGATCATCTTCATACAGACCCCGGAAATATAGCTTGATGTTTTCCTTGCACTTCTTTAACTCGGAGCACAATGAGAAGGCAACTGACCAAGCGGTTATCTGTTGAAGAAGTTCTGGTCTAGGATTTTGGACTTGATGATGAGGGCACTGACATTGAACCAGAGATAGCGGAGCATGTGGAAGAGGAAGACAACGCAGATTTTGATCCAGACTTTGAGGAGATTGACCAGTCAACAGATGGAGAAGAACAGTCACCTGAGAAGACTTTCCAGTCAAAGCTCTGGTCTTCCTCCACCCAGGACAAAGGAAGCAGAGCAAGAGTGGAAAACATCATAAAGATGAAGCCAGGGTCGATGCAACATTTTGCGTGGATGACATTAAGTCCAGCTTCCAACTCTGTTTACCAGAGTCCATTGAGGGAATTACACTGGAAATGAGAAACCTACACTGAAATAAAATTGGAGTGGCATTTACTTAAAAAAAGTAAGGACAGTATTTACACACATAAAATGCTTGTAAATTTTACTCAGGCTATTTTTAAGTAATATATACTTTCTAGAACCAAGTATTTTTTATGAAAAAGACCTAAGTAAATGTTACAAGCCATACTTACATACAGTTTGTAATTTTTACTCACCTTACCATTGCTTGTAATTACAAAACCCAAGTAAAAGTTGTTGATGTTTCTTTGTGTTTTTTACTCCACTTTTCTTTGTTATATTCTATGAAATTATAAAGTAATATGTATTAATAATGTATAGAGGGGAAGCATGTGTTTGGGGAGCTTCGTGCCCGTAGAGACAACAACACAAGCCTCAGAGGCTACAAATGTGATGCCTATGTTTGCAAGGCCCACTCTGACCTCTGTGTCACATGCCACTCATGTTCATGAGCGTGAACACACACACACACACACACGCACACACACACACACACACACCCCTTCATGTTGAGTTTGGTCTTTGTTTTCCATCTAATTTTTACATTACATGTTCATTTTGTAATACATTTTCAGGGCCTAATTATACTTTTACTGCAGTCATTTTTTTGTCTAAATCTGTAAATGTTAATCAAAACTTTGAGACGTTGTTCAAAACTAAGGATTGTTGAATAAATCTTTGGTTGTGAAAAATGTTTTTGTTTTGCTAATTTAAGAGTAGTTTTAACAGATTTTTTGGACTGAGAAAGAAAGCGGGTGTTGTGGGGGGGGGGGGGGGGGGGGGGGGATGGGTGACGGATGGGTTCATAGTTCACCAGCATGTGGTGATGTTTATTAACCGGATCATGCATCAAATAGTGAATAAAATTCTGGGTACAATTTACTGGTTTCCAGAGATTTTGTAGCCTGGCCTGCCAGACTCGTCCTCTGTTTAAATCTGCACAGAGAAGGAGTCTGGGAACTCACAGGCAGAGAGGCACATGAGGGGGCGGGACTAGGCAGCTCAAAAGTAACCAATCAGGAAAAAGATGGAAATGCCGACTGTACCGCACGATGCTGTAGTTTTCTAGCTGTAGTAAAAAAAAAATTGCGTCCGGCAACGGCGCAAACATCTTTTATTGTTTTTAGAAGAAAGGCTTTTAGTGCTTCTACTTGTGGTTTTAAAGACATTCGAGTCATTTAGAACAGAGGAAAGAGCCGCAGCGAACTCCGCTGCTGTGTTTGTTGTTTATGAGAAACTGACGTTGCTGTGTGTGACGTCCCCGGCGCTGTGGTTTTTTAGCTGTAGTCAATAATGGAGTCTGGCGACAGTGCAAACATCTTTCTTTAGAAGAAATGCTTTTAGTGCTTCTACTTGTTGTAGAAGTTGTAGAAGAGCCGCAGCGAACTCCGCTTCAGTCGCCATGTTCGACAAACTTGGCATTATGGTGTGTGTGACGTACGCTACTCAGCGCTGATTGGCTAGGTTAGAATTCTCACGGGGTGGGGTTATTTGAATAGGAGAGTTCCCAGACCCTTTCTCTGTGCAGAATTAAACAGAGGAGGAGTCTGGCTGGCCAGGCTAGAGAGTTTGACCAATTTGGGTTGAAAAACACACAAAAAAGACTTTTTTTTTCTTTAAGCAGTCATGATAGGTTATGGATAACGGCTAGTTTACAGCAATTAAATGACATTTATCACTTTGGGTCTTGTTGCAGACAGGAATGCAGCCATTATACTACACTTACTACACTATTTCTCTCTCTCTCTCTCACACACACACACACACACACACACGCACGCACATGCACGCACGCACGCACACACACACACACACACACACACACACACACACGTGCGCGCTTGAGTGCAGGCTCTGTCACACAAACAGGGGCATGTGATAATAGGGCTATTCTTTATTCAGGGGCATGAATAATTCAGGCTGTATGCATCCAAACTGATTCTTCAGTTGACAGAATAATATGATAGATTTTGCACCTGATGAGAAATATCACGAATGCTTCGGAGATTCCAGACGGGATAAACTGATCTTCTGAGAATGCGGTTAGTGAGCCCAATGGGAGCTTTTTTTTAAATCCTTGTAAAACTGTTGATGTTTAGTCATATCCAGTGTAGTCTCAGTCCCAGCTAGTCAGGCAATTGAAGATCCATTTACCAGCTAATAGAACAGATCACTTGTTTTGTTGTCCGTTAATTCATATTGAACATTTAATCTTCAAGCAGAAGAATTCAAATGACCAAGTTTTTTCACTTTTGGGACAGTTTAGTCGGGTCAATGTTAAAGCTCAGATGTGCATTTAAAGCACAAAAAAGGCTAAATGTCTTTACACAAACAAATAATTCATTCATATTTTGCAGAGAAACAATATCAAAATAAAAAATCCATTAGAGAGAGAAGCAGCTACATTAACAGATCTGCATCAAAAAGCACATTCAGCTCAGGAGATTGCAAAGTTCAGTCTGGTTCCATGTGGGTCAGAAGCAATGACAGAAAATAATTAATCCATCTTTTTTGCTAACTGAACATTTAAGTTGAGTTTTAAACCACATCGTTTCACCATCTGACCTCCTTAGTATTATTCCTCACTCACCTCTGCCTGGCTCTCATTTAGCCACACATCCTGATGAATTTCATCTTCTCTCCTAGATGTGAGACGACTCCTCGCGCTGGGTGCCATTTGGACCCAAAAAACATCCTTGCGGAGGAGATTGATGGCAGCGTTCCTGAAGCTTGGCAACTGGCCTCCCCACAAGTCAGCAGAAAGTTACTTATTGTGTTTTCATTGTTCAATAAGGCTTTGCATGAATTTCTTTCACCTCTCAGCTTGTGAAGCCAAAAAAAACCTTGAATGCCAAAGTCTTTATTAAGGCTGTGGAGTAGGCTGGCTCGAGGTCACTCCTGATGTTCCACTGGCTGCACGGGAAAGGGCTGGAATTAAAAAGCTGCCTGCCACAGGACATGGAAACCAACTGTGCTGAATGACTGCAATCCTTTATAAATTTGGCAATGGATTAATAATGTTGTAAACAGTCCATGCAACAGGATTTGGGAGGATATAAACAAGTTTTTTTTAAACGGTCACCATGCTGTGGCTGGTACTAAGTAGTTGTGAAGCATTCTTTGGCAAAGCTGGCACAAATAGTCCTCAGATTGAAGCTTCTTGGAAACAAACCAGCAAAAAGGCTCCTCGGTTGGCATCAGATGGAAGCATTTTAGTCAAGGCCTTTAAAAAAACAAGCTAATGGGAGTTAACTGTCCATACACTGCAAAAAATTTATTTTCAAGAAAGTAAGACAAGCCTTGCTTTTAAACATTTTATTTTAGATTTAGTGTAAAAAGAAGAAATATTCTTAACTGCTAAAAACAGCACCACTTAAAATGATGTAAATATTCTTAAATATGAGTCAAATTTTCTTATTTTGAGTATAAAAAACACATCACCAATGGGGTAAGCAAAATAATTCTATCACATGAATGCAACTAATTATTTTGCTAGTTCTAAAGGTGAAATTTGCTTTTGATACATTTGCAGTGGTCTAGTAAAAATGAATCACTCGCAAGTCATTTGCTGGGAAACAAAAGCTCCGGTGCACCTGTTTGAGGACATAGACATCCGCTCGAGGAGAAAGTAGCTTCAGACTAAAGGATTTGGTGTCTTATTTCCTGATATCTGGACATCTCACCTCTGATTCGCTAAAGCAACACGACTGACTGCTTTGCAACGTTGATGTTTTATCTCCACAAATAACACAAGCCTGAAGGAGTTTTGCCGTGTGGTACAGTTACTGATGCTAACAGTTAGCTTCTACTAGTTCTCTGATGTTTCCTGGACGCTAAACCAACAACAGCCTTCCCCATCGTGACACAAGATGGGTGTGTACATGAATGTGGACAGTGTGACGTAGATCTGTCAGGACTTTCTGACCCGAGCGGCTTTTCCATCTATTTTCTCAACTCAACTTTATTTGTATAGCGCCTTACAGACATAAGGTATGCCACCAAGGCACTTCACAGAAACAATAAAACCATAACACAAACATATAAAACAAATAAAAACAAGAAGAAAAACACAAGAATTCAATAAAACCAGTGACATAAGAACAATAACTACTGAGAGGTAAATGCCGAGTCATAAAATTAGGTTTTTAGCCTTGTTTTAACCCTCTGATGCATGAATTATGAAATCTTCAACCAAGATTTTTGTAACATTTTTTTTTCATTCATCTTTAGGTGTGAATGAAACAAATTTCAACAAATATTTTTAGTAAATTTTTATAATTTACTAATAGTTTATTACATGTCCACCTCAGTGGACAGCGTGCATTCTGAACATGAAATATGTTGGCTTGAGTTAATGAAGTCCAAATGGAGGGGCTCAAATGCAATAAAGTCTTCAACAGCTGTGCTTAATAGCGAAAATAAATAAATTCTAATTTTGAATACCTGTCCACTGTAGTGACCATTATGCATCAAAGGGTTAAAAACAGTCAGAGAGGTAGAAGTCCTTATAAAATGGGGAAGCTCATTCCAGAGCTTAGGGCTCGCTACCGTGAAAGCCCTATCTCCTCGTGTCTTCAAGCGTGACCTTGGAACAAAGAGCAGCAAGCAGAGATTCCAAGCTGGGACGTAAGGCCGAAGTAATGTTACCAGGAAGGTGGTGTCAGTCCATGCAGTGTTTTAAAAAACAGTAAAAGGATGATAAAATTAATTCTAATGACAACAGGCAGCCAGGATTGGGGGTGATATGGTCGTATTTTTGCTTACTTTGTAAAAATCTGGCTGCAGAATTTTGCACTAGCTGCCACCTGGCTAGAGTACCCTGGCTCACACCGAATAAGACCGAGTTAAAGTAGTTCAGGTGTACTGTGACAAAGGCATGGACCACAGTCTCTGGGTTATGTCTCGACAGGAATGGTTTCACCTTAGACCGGCGACGTAGATGATTAAAGACGGATGAAACCACTCTGTTAATGTGGGCATCAAAGCAGAGGGCACTATCTAGCTTCACATTAAGATTAGTTGCTGATGCACTCAGCTGACCATTGAACACCGGCAATTGTGAAGGTATCCCTATGGCCACTTGGTCCAAACAATGCTGCCTCAGTCTTCTGCTCATTGAGGCACAGGACGTTTCCAAACATACATGTCTTGACCTCTGCCAAACACTCCAAAATGTTGTTGATGGAGAGATCACCTGACTTGTCATGGGGCAAACATGGTAAAGGTGATAGTTGATGCAAAATTTACGAAAGATATCCGTTAGTGGCAAAATTTATACTGAGAACAGCAAAGGCCCTAATATGGAGCCCTGTGGGACACCCTCATGGTAGCTGAGAATATTCTGAATAAAGCCGCCCATTCTTACGCATATCCTATTGGCTAGATATGATCTCAACCACTCCAAGGCTAGGCCTGAAATCCCAACATAACATTGAAGACGATAGAACAACACATCATGATCTTTCAGATCTTTTTATCAGAACCTAATGCAAGAGATAGGGGTAGAAGACTAATTTCATATCTAGCCTGCAAATTAAACTCAGATTGACAAATCATGTTCAAAAATATTAAGTAAAAATTGGTTTCTCAGTGAATCTGCTCTAAAGAATTAGCCAAGCAACTTTTACTCACCCCATTGGCTGGTTTTCTTTAACAATTTGGACCAAATGAACAATATTTACCTTATTTCAAGTACTTTGCAGATAAGAACTTTTTTTAGACCAAAATCAAGATAAAATGTCTAAAAAGAAAAGGGTCTTTAATTTCTTGAAAATTAGTTTTTGCAGTGTAGCATCACGATTGAAGCAGGTACCTGTCATGGTCTGCATCTGCGTCTGCGTCTCCCTCATGTGTCTCCTTGTGTGCTCCACCCCCCTCTAAGAATCCCCGTATGTGTCTCTTTGTGTTCCTCATGTGTCCCCTGGTCTTCAGCCCTCCAGATTATCCCTCCCAGGTCCTGTGTTCCTTTGGTCTCCCCCAGTAACCCTTCTGCAGTTTTTATAGGTTCAGCTTTTCATTTGATTAGTCTCTTTAGTATGTTTCCCCACAGGTTTTTGTAGTTTTCCTCCCCCTTAGAATATTAGTTATTTTTGCTGGCTTTTCTTGTCTTTAGTTTTTTTTCTCTTAGGTCATGTTACCCCCAAATTCCACTACCTCCACTCCGCTCCGGCACGAACTCCGCAGCAAAATCGGTCCCGTTGTAGTCAGTCAGAGTTATTCCACTACTGCAGTGCGCCGCCCTCTGTTCCGGCGTCCGGCAAAAATAGAATCGATCCTATTTTTGCCGGACGCCGGAGCACCTCCGCAGTCAATGGACAGGAATCACAACCGCCCAACAGGAAAGGGGGCAAGCACAGCTTCCGTTATTTCACAATAAATCGACAAACAAAATGCGTTTTTTGTTTCATATGCACAGGTTTAACAACTATCAATGGCGGCTGAACTTTAAATGCACAAAAATAAGCCATAAATACAGTTTCTACTATCAAAGTAGTCACACTTTGTTGATCCAAACACTGCTGATCTCTCAACACAAATGATGGGCAGATTAAACAGTTCATTTCGATGCTTCTCCCACACAACAGGTGTTTGGATCTAACTTCCGCGTTTATTGCTCGGACTGTATCTCAAGATCTTGAAAATCCCGCGCATGCTTGTTTGCCCACCTCAGGTCTCCGCACCGGAGCGGAGCCGTTGTAGAGCGGGTACCAGTAAAAATTGAGTTCGGAAGCGAGCGGCTGCGGAAGGCGGGGGCGGAGCGGAGAGGAGGTAGTGGAATTTGGGAGTTAGTTTCCTCCCTGATTAGTTAATTGCTTTCACTTGGTTTCTCTCCCCACACACCTGCAGCCTATCTGTCTCCCATCGTGCCCCAGTGTATATAACCCTGTCTGCGTCTCCGGCTGTTGTTGGGTCATTGTCTGTTGTCACTTTTGTCTGTCCCCCCCCCCCCCCAGATTTGGATCTTCATTTTGGGATTCTAGGTTTTGTATTTTGGGACTTTGATTTTGAGTGTTTTAGCTCCCTGCCTTTTTGGACTTCTTATAAATAAAAGGATTTTTACTTTATTGCTCCACTAAGCGTCATCTGGTTTTCTGCATCTTTGGGTCCTAACCTCCTCTTGGCTCCCCATCGTGACAGTACCCTCCAGTAGAACTGCAACATTTAGCACAACAACATCCACAAAATTATTTTTGGTTTCATTCATGTAAAGCTTGTAGATCAAAGCTGTTTTTGGTGGTAGAACACCCACCCATAGGAGGATGGAAAGGCTATCTGATGCGGACTCCTTCCCCATGTCCATTATGGTCACAGTCGTCACGTGAATTCAGCCAGTAGGCAAAGGAGGCTTCAGCAGAGCTTGTCAGTAAACTGTTAAGAGCCCAGAGCTTACACTGGATTTAATTGACTGTTGATTGTTGAATAAATGCCTCTCAGAATATCTGGGCAACACATTTGAAAAGGGGGTCGAAACCACATTTATTTCTGAATAAAACACACACACACACACACACACACACACACACACACACACACACACACACACACACACACACACACACACACACACACACACGTTCGCAAACACACGCGTGCATGCGCACACTGTGAATGAAAAACTGCTGGTTCGCACCTGTAAAAGGAACAAAACCAGACAACTCGGAGCAACTTTCCCCAAACACAAGTTGTCCCAGAATGTTATTCCAGAGGCGTAAAAAAACAGCCAAAAACACCCAAACAGTCTCCTTAAAAGAGGCGAAGAAAACCCCAAACACACTGTCCCACTGGTCATACATTGTGCCCATGCACTCCCCCCTTCCCAAAAATATGCAAAATATTTAAAAAAAAAAAGTCCATGGAATATTCCTGCTTGCTGCAGCAGCGAAGCGCAGCGTGGTCTGAACACAAGTGAGGAGGGTCCAGTTCAACAGGGGGGACCCTTTTGACTCGAATTAAGAGAAGGCTGTAATGGGATGAAAAAAAGGAGAAAGGGGGAGGAGGATGGCGAGGAAAGAAAGTGGTGGTGGTGCCAGACGCAGCGGCAGTAAGAAGCGTGCGTACGTGCTTTATCTTAGCGGCTGAGTGTGACGTGATTTTGCAGCCAGCCTGCTCCTGGAGCTCTGCAAGCACCAAGCAAAGCGCGTCTGCTCCTCTCTGTGTTGTAACTCCCAAGCCCCCCTACACCACATCCACCCACTAAAGGATCTTTTATTTTCTTTATTTTTTGGGCTCGCTTCGCTCCCCTCCTCCTGCCTGACGAGAGGAGAAACGCGACTTGCCGGAGAAATCACTGGGAATAGAGACGTGGAGTGCGCGGATTTCATTTATGGTCATTCTGTGAGAATTGCTCCTTCTTCATCACTACAAGAATTTTCTTCCTCTCTCTCTCTTCCTCTCCCTCTCTCTCTCTCCCTCTCTCTTGGCATTTTCTCTTTCCCTTTCTTGCTCGGTGGCTGTCGTGTGCGTGTGTGTATGTGTGTGCGGTTGCGCTCGGTTTTGATGGGAAAAACCCAGAAGAAGAGGAAGCTGGACGGGGAGGATGCGAGCGGGCTGACCGGAGTGTAACGCATTTTTATTTGAACCATCTTGTTGCGCCGGACTTCTCCTTTTGTCGGGAATGGGGAGTATCGATTCACTGAAGGGCTGCAGAATTTATTTATGAAGGATGTGGTCAATGTTGGGAAAATAGCCATAGCGTCCGCAGTGTAAGGTAAGACACTAATTCACATTTTCTGATTTATTATTGATGCGTGAGGCTGTCATTTATTTATTTATTTATTTATTTATTTATTTATTTATTTATTTATTTATTTATTTATTTATTTATTTATTTATTATGTCTCAGTGAAAGTTTAGCCTCCCTGTGTGAAATTTGCGCCCCTGTCTGCTCAACACGATGGCTTTTGCGCGTCTATCCGTTCGCATTAGTCTGGGGTGCTTAACAGATGATTTTTAAGAGCTGATCTCCCTCTTAAGAGGCAAAAATCACTTTAAAGTGCCAAGCGTCGAACTGACGCGGCATTAAATGGAGCCCCATACGTGCCTCAATATTCAGATTTTCTCTCCTGATGAAATAGCGTTCGGTGGTGAAACATCAGGCTCCTCTCACGACCGACTTCTTTTTTCTTTTTGGTCATGAATCTTCCGGGATCATATCTCAGCCAGAGCTGATCCAACTCTGCTCTGCTTCCATAAATCCTTACATGACACACATTATCCCAGTGAGGTCTGACGGACAGCTGATCATTCAGTTCATCCTCCAGAAACAAAAAGTTACAGGCAAAGGGTATTTATTGTGCAAAAAAAAAGCTGCTATCCATTGCCTACTTTGGGGTTTAGACGCCTACACACACACAAACGCACGCACACGGATCTAGACGCGCGCACACGCGTGCACATTCTGCTGTGACACTGCTCACAGCTGCATTGCCTGTAGGATTAAAGCAATCAGGACATCGCGTTGCATTCTCTCCATCTCCCTCTCGTGCGCGAGCGCAGCCACGCACGCGCACACATCCATAACAAGCCGCCACTCAAACACGAGCTCTTTATCAAATTACATTATACAATATGTCCATCCTTGGATTTGAGAGACGCGCAGAATGGCGCGTTGGATCGAAAGTGCGCACCGAGAGATGAGCAAGCACAAAAACGCAAGACTTTTTTTTATTTTGTTGTGCGTGCGTGCGTGCAAATCCGCCTCTCTCATGTTGTCTACCCGTCCTAGACCGAATCAAGGGAATACAGCTTGATTTGAAAAAGGTCCCGGTTGCTGCGTAAAACCGATGGGTCGCACATCACCGCAGCGACCCTCACGCATCAAACCCCCGCTCGTCTCCCTTTTAATGTCATATATTCGAAACAGCTACATTTGAATACCTCCAGGGGGTGTGCCAGCCCAAATATGACCCAATTAATAATGTCTAAATGACTCACATTATTGCGCCCACCTCCCCTCAATAAAATAAATATATTTATACACACATATATCAGGGCTGAAGTAGCCACAAGGTGGCAATGTTTGCCCAAATTACAGTGAAAATGGAGGCAAGATGGGACTGCAAAAGACATGTTGCTGAGGTTAAGGTGTCCCCCCTTCTGCTATAGAACTATGTGATGCATGCCAGTCACGCTAGACAGAAATCATCTATCATCTTTTTTGTCCTGTGCTCTTCTTTAACACACTTTTCCATGATCTTCTTCATCTCTCCCTGCAGGCCAAATGACATAGGATGAAGGCTGTTCGAAACCTGTTGATTTATATATTTTCCACCTATCTTCTGGTTATGTTTGGATTAACTGGTGCCCAAGATTATTGGTGTTCCACTCTGGTCAAGGGGGTCATTTATGGATCATACTCGGTGACTGAAATGTTTCCCAAGAACTACACGAACTGCACGTGGACGCTGGAGAACCCAGACCCTACCAAATACAGCATCTACCTTAAGCTATACAAGCGAGACTTGAGCTGCTCTGAATACTCTTTGCTTGCTTATCAGTTTGATCACTACTCGCACGAGAAGATCAACGAGTTGCTAAAAGTGAACGAGTCAATAGTGTACCTGTGTGACTCAAAGAATAATTACATCTTTTTGCTGTACGACAAGAATTTTGTTCAGCTGAGGAGAGTTTTCCCTTATGATTACAACGGATTGTCGCCGCAGAAGCTGGATGAGGAGGAGAAGTCTATCGTGGATTTCTTGGTGTTCAATAAGGCGAGCCCTAGCCAGTTTGGGTGTCAGGTGCTTTGCACGTGGCTGGAAAACTGCCTGAAACTAGAGAAAGGGACGGTGGAGACATGCGGGATTGTGTACAGCAAATGCACATGTCCTCAACATTTAGGCGACGGGGAATCAGATAGCGTGCTCTTGCTCAATAACGTGGTTTTACCGTTGAATCCACAAACGGAGGGTTGCTTGTCACCTCAGCTGCAAGCTGGACAAATCTGCAATCTGAGTGCAGAAGTGAAACGGCCTCCCAAAGAAGGTGAGTATCCTGTCATTTTCCTCGTCCTTTCTGCTGAAACTGTAGGTTTAATGCATTCTACTGTCTGTATAGATAAGGTAGCAAACGTGTCAATGAAATGTGCACGTCTGTCACTCCTTCCTCTGCCCTAAATGCATGTTTGAAGTGTGATGGCCCATGAAACAAAGAGCACACATAGATATGTGGACTGCAGTTGGCTCAGAAACGTGTCAACTTCAGGAACAAAGCTGCCAGGGGAGTTGGGTGTAGTAAAGACCACACCAGCACAAAGCAAGCCACCTCAAAGGAGGAGCTTTCATTTGGCTGGACAAAATTAGAAAAAATGCTCCATCGTTGCTGGGAATTTAAAATGGCTGTTTTTGATTAACATCAGCAAAAAGCTAAAATGGCTGCAAATCTAAAGGTTTTTTTTTTCAGTTTGTTTATACATTTATGCCACGGTCATCTATAGAGATTAACTAATTGCGACGAACACGTTCCTTTAACGTTTAATCGCTTTTAAACGCCACAAACACCTCAAAAATGATTGGGACTATTGATGCAGCAACGTCCAATTGGCTCACTTACAAAATGAAAAAATAATGCAACAAATTATTACTGAATATTGAACCAATATTACTCTGAGAATGATTTATCACGAGGGATTAATGTTTAGTGTTGCCATAGAGCAATGCAACGTCTGTTATTTAACCTGTTTGTTGGAAATCAGCACCTGTAACGTGAAGCGAGAGCCATACTGGAGAAAATGTCACAATCAAGGGACCTGTTTACTGTTGAATTTCACACATGCACATGAACGCACACACACACATGCATCCTCACACATAGACAGCAGAATAAACATTAAACAGCATCAGACTGTCAGGATGCGGATCAGTAGTCTTTACGTTTGTCCTGCAGAGGTACACAATCTAGTTAATACACGTTTATTTGTGTATTTTATTCCTAATGTCTCTTAGGGGCAAAACTGGTTTTATTTTAAAAGACAGCAGAACAAACTAATCAATAGTTTTACCTCAGGGAGGTGAAGAGCCTTTACAATCCATCACCGAATCAAAGATAATCAACCTTTAGGGTTTGTCTGGAATACGTCGTCTGGAGACAATTATGCTAATGTTACCATTACTATAAAAGCACCAAAAAGCATTATGGGTAACACGTGGGAGTTTTCTAATTGAAATCCACCTACATCCAAATTTTTAGGCTTGTGGTATTATTGTTAATAGTTGCTCTAATTTCTGCATGATGCATCACGTTGGCTGATGATGCATGATGAATACTATTCCCCTCCACTAGATCCCCTCCACTAGAGCGCCTCAGGCAAAAACGCATACATCTGATGCAAATGTCTATGTTATGCAACGTACGTACACTCTAAGAAACGGGATGCTGATTTTATTTAGTGGTGGAGGAAATACTTGTTTTTTTTTACTTTAGTAAAAGTACAGATGAAGGGGTGCAAAAATAAAAAGAATGTATAAGTGGAAGTATCCAAGAAGTTGACTCGAGTAAAAGAGTTAAAGTATGCATTTTTTAATTAATTAACACATTTGCAAACAAGCTAGGTTTTCAATGCTAACACAGTCTTGGAACACACACCCCTCTGCTTGGGTATCTTTCCTGAGACGTTTCTGGTGGAACCGGAAGCCCGCAATGCCGGATGAAACGAGATAGTGCTGAACACCGGTCGGCGTTTCCTAGGTCCAAGCGTCTCATGTTGTCCATGACTTCCATGGTGCTTTTCTTTTTGGGACTCTAGTAGTTTGTCCTGAAGCGGTAGCAGCCGGCTGTTTCTCTTCCTCTGATATTATTGAGCGGAGAACCTGTCACACCAGTGTTGTTCTGTCGCTACATATGCGAGTGTGTAACAAATGAAGGACCCAGGCAAGTGCGGCGGTTCGGCGAGCTTGACAACCGGATGGTCAAATGGTTGCTTTT